CGCGGGTACAAGTTGTACGGATTTTGTGCAAAATTTACGGATTTTTGAGGCTCTTTGTACAGGTAAACGTCCAAAGAGGTTGACATGTATGTGGAAATAACTTTGACAATTCTTGTTTAACTTCAGTTAAACATGAAACGTGACATTCCTCCTCCCATAGCTAACAAACCGTTAACCACTAACAAACAATAACTGAGCTTTACGTGGTAATTTGTTTACAGAAACAGCGTTTCATATGTCCTCTTATAAATACTAAAGGAGCTGCAAAGATCCAGAGAAATAGAAATTTTACGCAGTAAATTTCACTGGTTGCTGGCTACTTTTGAACCCTGCGCGCCTCCACCTAGTGGTGGGATACCATCATGGGGAAAATAATCAACGTGCATTATGGGAGATGTAGTTTAGCATCAATGTTGGCTTTAAAGCAACTTGGCTTATTTTAAAACATTAATCTTTGWCRCTCTTGTGGGCCAAATAAAATGCTGTGGCGGGCCACATTTAGCAACAAAAAATTAAACAAGTCTAACAAGTCGTAATTAATTTAATTGGTTCAGCACTTTATAAACAACGTGGTACTGAATCCTGCACAATGACAAAGTAGCAATTAAATTAATTATTAAAATTAAAAAGGAACTTAGAAAATGGAATATACAAACAAGTGTATTAAATTGCATCTGCTCCATCCATTCATACAGCTTCTAGTCTTTACAAACCTGATAGCTCAGTTTAATTATTCTCATTAAAACTCAAAACAAAKCCATCCATCCATTCACCCACCACTTGATCCAACAAGAAATATCTGTTTGACAAAACTAAACAAAAATGTTAAATTATGAGCTGTAAGATACTGATTTTTATTGACTCTTATATGCTCTACCCATATACATATTTTATTAAGATATTTAGAATATTTTTATAATCAAAAATGTTTATTTTTATACTGTGATTAAGATGTAAGAACACAAGGTTTCTACAGGCTAGTAACACGCCTCCCATCGATACAATACAACCAAACACATGCTTCTACGTCTGGGCTCGTATGATTTCCTTGTTTGTGAACTGAGTCAACCTGATAGGTGAGGTCATTTCCAGAAGGCGGGACTCAGTTCTGAAGATTAATTAAAAGCTACTGTGTTGTAAAAGAAGGGCGCCAACTGCCCGTGATCTGAAGTCCTGCATGTGCAAATAAATAATCAAGCCTAACTTTGAATAGTTTTTTTGTAGAATTCAAGCTCATACTTTGAACACTATTTCTTTCAGAGATTTTAAAACCAATAAGAAAAACATGTTGCTTCAGAAGTGCTAATAGATCACACATATTAAGTACGAGCTACCCCTCTGTTATCATGATCCGTGTTTCTTTTTTCTTTGATGGTTCTTTGTGTTTTAGATCAAGTTTYTCAGTTATCATGGTTTGCTTTCTGTATCTGGAAAATTAGTTTTTACCGGATCAGTCCTTGTGTTGTGTCATATCAGTTCTTTACCCCTGACTTAATATCTTGTCCAGTCTGCAGTTTTGTGTGTCATTGTTAGGTTTGTTTTGGTATTCTTGTGTTTTCTCTCTTTGATAATCCCTGTTTTGATCCAGAGTTCTCCCTACCTATCCTCGTTCACTCTCAGCTCTGTGTTTTTCGAGTCAGCCTGCCTCTCTCACCTGTTCCCAATCAGTAATCACCCAAGTGCCCCCACATTCATTTACCTTTTCTGTTTATTCAGTGTTGCTGCCACGTCAGWCTTTTCTTTTGTTTGTCAGAAAATACATTTAGTTTTCAACATCCTTGTGCTTGTCTGCATTCTAAGTCCAAAATCCTCCACCGACTGGTTCTAACTTAATCCTGTCCTGGTTCAGTCTTCAACAGAAGAACACAAACTGACAAGAATCTTTACAATTCAAGCTTAGCAACAAAGCCGACATACATGTCTGTAAAAAAAAATGACTAACTCTGGTTCTGCTTTGGGAATCATTTAAATCGTGGACGAACAAAGAAAAATAATTTCCTTCTGATAAAAATCATCAAAAGCAGTTTTGGAAACCCAGAAAGGTAAAGTGAACGAACACCGTGTCCCCCGGATTACATCGAAATCAGTCTGGTTTCAGTCGGAGGTTTGGAACGTGCCAAACACACGGACGTGGCAATGATGTGCACAAAGAAAAAAGCAAATAAGGAGAGAGAGAGAGAGAGAGAGAGAGAGAGAGAGAGAGAGAGAGAGAGAGAGAGAGAGAG